TTTGGCAAACCTAACTGCCATATTGAAACACTTGAGTGGGAAAATATACTTTCTCTGTTTCATGTTAGTCCAACATGCCATCTCATGTGCTGGAGCTAGCATGAAAAATCATTACATCCCAGAGATTCAGCCTCTGGGCAAAAGTAATCAATGGATGAAATGGTAACGGTGCTGACTTCATTATTCAGCCTTAGCCTTTCCCTTTAAGTATGCCTTAGAGATAATGCTAACCTGGAAGGAGCTGGTTTTAGTACTATGAAAAAAGAAAATTACTTCTTCAAAGTTTTATTAGCTGATATGGAAAATGTATAAGAGTTTCTCTAAGATTCATCTGTTGTAAGGGAAGTGAGAAGCTGTTTAAGAGTAGGGTCCATTTGTTGTATTTCAAAGGAAGGGTTATAAAAAGAAGCTTGTGAGGCACTAGTCTGACTTTAATTAGAGTTACTGTGCTGCTTAGCTGCCTGTGTGTATCACAGATGGCTGGCAGGGATTTGGAGGCTGAAGAAACTGGATGTCTCAAAGATTGTCCTGTTCATCAGCCGTGTACTCTGACTTCTGTTCCTTTTAGTTTTAATGTGTAGTGCTCATTATAACTCACCCATTCTGACAAGTCTTCAAGATGTTCCCCCTCTGGGATTTGTGGCAGCTGAGGTTCATGGCCAGCTCAGAGATGGTGAGGCTCAGAGATAGCTCCCTGGATGTGATCCCACCTAGTTCTTAACTGCAGCCCTGGCAGTAGGAGCCACAAGTTCCCACCAGCTGGGCTGTGGTGACTGACTCCTGCTCACAGCAAGAAGCTGAGCCCAGAATTTGCAGGAACTGGGAGTGGTGCAGGCAGAGCAAAGCAGTAGGAGAGCTCTGGGGACAGGATTTGAGGAGTAATATTGATTATCCTGAGATAAATTACTTGTCAGTAGAATTGCCTTGTTTAAAGTTTAGGGCTTGGCATGCTCCAAAGATCCCAGACCCAAGGGGAGGGTAACAAATCTTAGGAAGAAGAGTGCTGCTGATAGTGAACACAAAGAATGCAGAACTTAGAACTTTGCAAGAACACCCAAGATAGGAAGGTACTAACTACACTAATTCAACAACTGTGCCAAAATCTATTCCAACTGGGTAAAAGAGGAGGTCACAACCACCAAATACCTCTGACTTAAATGAAAGACCCTGATCATGCACAGTAGCTAATAATGAATTAAATAATATCTTGCACAATCAGCTTTTTTATGAGTACCCAATAATAGAGCAATAAACAGGTGGAATATATTAGATTAACAGTGCATAGATAACGATTGTCTTCTCTGCTCAGGGTGCCAGCTTTATGGATTTACCACCTGGTACTCAGCCACATGCAAATATGAAATAAATCATTACCTGGTATCTTGCTGCACACTGGGTGATGAATCCTGATTTTGGGAGAACAGTTTTCTGGTGATCCAGATAGGACAAGCCTAAAAGGCCTTGCCTAGTTCAGCTGTGTACCTGAAGTGAAGGGGCGTGGTTGAACAGATTCTAGCACATACCAGCTTTTGGTTTGGGGACCCTGGACAACCTATCCTGTGTAATGTGTATAACCTATCATCATTCTAGGACTGAAGTAAAAAATGAGAGTTGCTTTCCCCTGTGGAACATAGAGTATGGGCCCAATGTGTACAAGATAAATGGTAAACTGTTGGTGTCCAGCAACATAAATTCTGTAAAAGCAATGTAATGATTTTCTGAAACCATATAAAATGGAGATTGGTTCTAACCTGCATGAATTTGGGGCAAGGAGAATACTCTAACCAGCGTGTGTCTCAGAAATTTGTGGCATTTTTACACATTTGCTTTCAAAATAAGTTTTATTTAAGTTTTAGAAGTTTTCCTTGCTGTGTGTGATTTTTTTTTTTATTTTTCATTTTTAGAGAACAGAGAAATTAAAATTCAATTAAGTAGAATAGAATGCATTGAGAATACAGATATTCTTGTTTTCTTTTTTCTTACTGTCATTTAAGACTTAGACAAAGCTAAACAACTGAAAGAAATATTACTTTAAACAAAATGCAGTCTTTTAGTTCTTGGTGTGTTTCTTTTTCAAACAATTTTTGTTTAAATATTTCTGTTCTTGTCTGGCAACAGATAAAAATATATTCTCCTGAAAGAGCAATCAAGAGCTAATCCATCCATCTATCTCTGCTAAAACCCCCCCAAACCAGAAACCCTTCAAATATGTGTCCCAGGTCCCTACAGTTAGCTCACAGAAACTAAAGGCTCTCCTTTACTGTGTACCAGACTTCTTTTTCTTTGCAAGCATTTCCCCAGAGAGCTGAGGCTCTGAGCAGACATTGCTGTTCAGCATCAGGATTTTTTGGCGGAGCTGACCACCACTTTAGCTGAAAACTTGTTCTGGCATCAGTCACAACCCAGACAGTAACTGAACAAGCAAAGAAAATTTTGCTTGGATAGTAAAGGGTTGTATTTATTCTTTATGCAAGATTCAAAGACTGCCATGTATGATTCTCTGAATGTTAGAGAGCTCAGAGAATTTTGCAGCACTTAAAGGACTTGGAGGTGGTGGTCTGGTGAACAAAATATCTTCAAGGACTAAAATTCACACGTATGACTCTTAAGTTTTGTGATACGACACTCATCCTCACACACACACAGGGGAGCACAGAGGGACAATGGCAATGGGGGCCTTTTCTCCAGAGAATGTGAAGCCTGTCAAGGCTCCTCTTAGGGCTGTCCCAGGGGAGTGTTTTCTCCAGTGTCCTGCTGTGAAAACCCATCAAGAACAGTCAGCGAGAGCTACTCTCCAGAGCACTGTTGCAATTGTTGTTTAGAACTTCCCAAATGGAAGAAACCCAGGAAAGCCTTTTGTTGCCTTTTGTGGCAGCTTGATAGCACAGAGGCTGCTGCAGCTCCCAGCCCCCAGGTCCTGTCAGGAGTGAGGCTGAGCGTGTGTTCCCAATATGTGCACGCACAAACACCCATATGGCACACACACATGCACATGGCTGGCTGCACAGATCAGCACAAACACGCACCCAGCACACACAGAAACACAAACAGCACCAATGTCCTCATCCTCCTCCTTTCTCTGGCAGCTCAGGGTGAAGGTCTGTTAGTGGGTGTGCATATCACCCAGCTGGGAGCTGTGTTTGTGGCACTCAAACAGCTGTTGCCCACAGCTGCCCAGTGAGTGGACCATGTGAAAGGGAGGGACAGGGCTCTCGGTGGCACAGCTGAGCACTCTGAGGAGGAGCAGGAGGGCTAGGCTGAGGTAGCAATACACTGTAGTCATGTCCAGTGTCTGACTACCAGTAAAAGCCTCAGCAGTGACAAGTAGTCATGATTTCTTTGTTATGGTGTTGTGCCTAAAGAAATGCACAAACACAGTGTGAGATTTGTCCCTGGTGAAAAAGAGCAAGGACTGCTGGGCCAGCAGCTCCTGGTCCACTCAGAGGACATGAACGCAAAATGCTGCTCTCTTTGCTTTCCTTGAAGGCCCTTCAGGGAGTCCAAACTACTTGTCAGCATGTGGGTACCTCAGTCTTGTGGCTGTAGGGTCCTGAAATCACAGAGAACTTGTGATAAAAGCTGTAGACAACAGGTGGAAGAGCAATGAAGAACACACAAAAAAGGCACAGGAGGAAAATCTCTGCAGAGAAAACAGACGGGTATACGTTGGATGCTGGCTGTCAACAGAAAAATATACCAAGTCTGGCTTTAAATTTACTAGAAATAGACATCTCATTATGCTCAGAGAAGGCTGTTCAGTGGCCTCCACTTCAGCAAAGAAAATATGAAGAAAGGAAACAGTTTCTTTTAAATAAATTCCCTGCTTCTATGTTTTTGTAGAAGCACGGTATGTAACTATTGTTTTATTTTCCATCTGTAGTAATTAAAACTCTGCCAGCACAACTTTCCATCCTGTTGCTCATCCTTTCTTAACACAGATGGTCTAGGTTTTGTTGCACCTGTGCAGTAAAATAAAACAGCCTTCTTGGGAAGTTAGTTTGAATTTTCACTGCAGTCAGCTGAAATGTTTGGTTTTCCTTTAGAGATTTGAGCAGCTTTCTCCTTTTTGTACAAATCACTTTGTACAATTTTTTCAAAAATGAAAGCTAACCTGTATTGCATTTTAGTAGGAACATGTAGCTTTGTTTACACTTAAATGCTGAACGTTTTGTTCTTTTAAGTCTAAGGAAATTAAGTGGGCTGTATATTTGGGAGAAAACAGATGAACAGGTATGCTGATAAATTGTTTTATTATGAATTCCAAGATAATGTGAACCTATTACATATCTATTCCAGGGTTCCTGGATCTGTTTATAGAATGGTCCAAAGGAGCCCTGGCAAGGGGCCATGCTCCAGGCAGCAGAGGAAGGCACAACCACCCTGAGACATTTTCTGGTCCACCATGTGGGTAGAAAAGCCTTCCTTCCTGTAGCTGCACAGCACAGGAGGTGTCTTTGTGGCACATGAGCATCAGGCAGAAATGTAGCCAAAATGGATGAGAGGAGCCCTGACAAGTGGTCATGCTCCATGCTGCAGAGGAAAGCAGAAAACCTCTGGAGTCCAGTGCCAATCTGCCTCAGGGTAAAATTCCTTCCTGACTCCAGGACTGATGATCATCTATTCCCTAAGCATGTGAACAAGATCTGCCCCCTCATCCCACAGCCTTCTGGTCATGCCTCCCTGGAAATGCCCAAGCCCTATTCTCTCTCAACCTGAAGCCATCTCAGGGCCTTCCAAGAGAGGTCAAATGCCATGGTCCTGATCAGCCTTGGAAGCAAGAATCCTTCCCAAGCCTAGTGGGTGCTACAAAGTGCTGAGACCGCTGGACAGCATTTCTGGACCCCATTTCTTATGGCTGCTGCCTGTGGCTCCATGGAGGATGAGGACAACAATCTCTGTACTGCTACTCAGGGAGGAGCATTCAAGAAGGGACATTCAAGAAGGCATTCCCTTGGTCATGCCTTTGCTAGCCAGCTGAAAAGGCATCACAGCCCTGATACCTTTAAGTTTTAAGTCTTCTGTTCTGTTCTGCTTGGACGTGCTTTTCCATTGTGCTTGGGTGATGAAGACAAAACAGTCCAATTCCAGCTAGGGACTCGAGGACAGTATCTTCAAACTTCAAGCCCTAAGCACAAACAACCTGAAAAGAGGAGGGTGGACACACAAGAAAGCAAGGAGGATGAAACTTCCCTATTTGAGACTATTAATAGGACAGCTGACTCCTGCATGCAAATGGACTAAAACCTATACAGGTGTGAGAACTCGTGACCAACTCCTCCTTTACTTCCATCTTGGAGCCCTCCAGGCAAGGGCCACAACTGTGTCACTCATATTTCTGGTGTAGCCTTTTGTAAGCCTCTCAATAAATACCCATTTTATTCTGTGTGTGTAGCCTCTGTTCCAGCTCCTCTAGGCATCAGCCCCAGGCACAGTCAGGGGTTGGTGGTTCTCATCTCTGGAGGGGCTTGCATCTCTTCTGTAAGGCTAAAGCAGGATTTCCATCCCCCAGATAGGCCTTGAAATGGCCCCTGCAGGAGCTGGCTTTGCAGTGGAGAACCTCCAGCAGCCCCCTCCAGTCTTCTTCCCTCAGCCCCCATCAAGTAATTCCACTAGCTCCTCAAGGACTACTTCTCTGAAGTTTTCACAGTGCCCCCTGGCCTGCTCTGGCAGCACAATGTGGGAGGATGTTCCCTCTTGCCCTGTTCCTATAGTTTAATAAGAGCTGCATCGATTGGTTCCTATTTTTTTGGATATGCAAATATTTATTTTTTTTTAGGAACAATAGACAATGGACTGTCTTTCTTCTTTTCCTGCATCAATTTATTTACATATGTTTTCCAGGCAGTACCACTGCTAATTCAGCAGGGCCCATGTGCATGTTACAAAAGCTCTTGTAAAAGAAAAATTATTGCGATTTCACATTTCTACAGAAGGCAGACACAATCCAATCCCTGCAATTGCCCTATGTTTGCTCTGTTGTTCTCAAACTATAAATGTTTTATGAAAATACTGGGATTTATATGTACATTCATCCTTTAAGGAGAAGAATAGGTCTCAGTCCCCTGGGGACTTGGTTTACTGAAGATGTGAAGCCTCTGGCCTTTCTGCTCCTGCTGCACGTTGCTCTCTGCAGCATGGGACAACGCTCACACCAGAGCTCCACTGAGCTCCGAGGCAGATGGACAGCTGATGGGTATTGCTTTATCACTAAGCAGACTGCTTTAAAATGCCAAATACTTATGTAGTTATTGCAGTATGTTTCTGATTAAAAAATGTCCATTTTGCATTCCTCATTCCAAAACCACATTTAGTAATGCCAAAAGAAGCAATGAAGTGATCTTCCTAACATAGCAAAACCACAAGAAAACCCGCTAGTGTTGAAAAATTAGTGTCCAAATTTTTGATGCATAAATACTAATACCAATCACATCATTACTAGAAGACTGACCTATATGTCAAAGAATCCATAGGTGGGAATGAAATCCATACAATCATTTAAGTGCCCTGATCATATTGTGCCTTCTGACTTGGAAATATTGCAGTGGTTTGCCTTTTGGGGAAATTGTTTCCTTTTGCTTTTTGTATTTTTTTTCTCTCTTTGTTGCAAAGCTCTTGAAACAACTATTAAATACAGACAAACAGCTAACAGTCCTTTTCTTCCATCAAAGCATGGAAAAACGTATCCATCTGCCTTTCTCTGAATTGTAAGGGAAGGAGGTGAAAGATATGCTAAATATCTGAGGAATGATGAAGTAGGGCAAACTGCAGTCTGATTTTCTGTATCAGCTGCATAACTCATCCATCATTATTACAGTTTGCAGCTGGGGATATTGCAGGGTTCTGACATGAACTGTACTGGGAGACAGAAACACCCTGGTGAGTTGACTGCATAGTGTAGTTAAGAGGCCTCTGCTGTTACTTCATGTTGTAAATGCTTCTCTGTGGATGTTAAGAAAACCAGTGCCATTTTAAACAAAAAGCTTGAGTGAATTTTATGAAAAGTCTAGACTGATGACCTGCAGTTTCAAATTTGGTTAGGTTTGGTTTTCTAAAAGTTCTTGGGAGTGGCACGTGCACTGGAAACTTTTTTGCATTTTCCTAACCTGTTTTTTTTCAGCACACACATGGGGGGCTGTAAGTAGAATTTTAATTTTAGGTGAAAGAGATAACACCTATTTGCTGCCCTCCACTAAAACTGTCACCAGTAGTTCAAATATTCCAGCATTTTAATTTCTTCCTTACTTTCCCATTTTCTTCCCTTATCTTTTGCATGTACCCACTGCTTTGACTGAGATTTTTTTTTTGTTTGCTTTTGTTTCCTAAATATTTGCTTTTTGTTTAGTCTTATGCCCTGCCTGAACATTTAACTTTCAGTTTTGAATTCCAGCCTCTTTTGGTTTGTTCTGACAGTATCCTCACCGTCAGACTTCCAGATACTGTCAGAAGAGTCCAGTTATTGTTAGCTCTGGATCTAGGAAGTAGTATGACCGTATTGGAGGTAAGCCCCGTCTCTTCTGAGAAAAGTAGAATGACTGAAATGTGGCAATGTCCCTTCAGGCCACTAGTGTGCAGTAACTTCATTGCAATGCAGCAGCAGTGTTTAGAATATATGATGTATGGTTTTAGTAGAGAGAGATACCCTGAAAGGACCGAGGTCTTGGAAGCCTTTCAAGTTCAGTTTTGAATTTCAGTGGTTTAGAAAAGTTTATAAATTCCTTCCCTAAAATTCAGAGATTTACCATTGTAGTTTCAGTTTGCATAGTATATATTATGTTTTAGTAGCTGAATTTTACTGAAACTGCTGTGATGCCTTTTCCGGGAACTTTTCTATCTCTACACTACTGCAAATAATTGCTGTCTGAACCAGTCTGCTGGGTTTTCTCATGACCATCAAAGGATTCTGAATGGGCTTCAGTGGAGTAATTTTATGATCTATATGACAAGCTATTAGTGCCGTTTTCAGCATAATAGGATGCTATTTTAATTGTAGTACTGACATATCACTAGGGCTCCTATTTTTTTAACCTTTGGAATACTAGGCAGCATAGTAGCTTTTGTCAATTAAATATAGGAAGGGTTTATTGTGATGGTCTCACTGTACTAGCTAATGGGAAAGGAAGAGAATTTTTTTTCTTTCTTGGACGTGGGGCGTGTGCTGTACTAAACAAACTACATGTATGAAGTGGTTTGTTGTCCTTCAACCAAGCCTTCTGTTCAGTCTAGCACTTGCATTACCAAGAGTATCCACCTTCCCCTTTTCCCAAGTCTTGCAAGTAACCACAAACAGACTGTTTGCCGGGGTGGTAAGTTCTTGAATTTGTCATAGTTACTAATGATAAATTATCTCTCCCATGAAGACTTGGAGGGGGTGGGGGAGGAGGTCAGCATAATTACTTCTGTGCTGTGTTTATGACCCTTAGAGTGTGCTAAGTGGAAAGAAGGACTTGAGGGCTTAAAAGCCTCACAGAAGGTCAGGTGCAAACTTGACTATGGACCATGCTTTCTCTTTTCATGACACTATTTCCCCTTGACCAGGAAAGCCCAATTGATTTTAGAAATTTTTATTTTTCTCTCCTTTCTGTCAGTGTAAGAACTGTGTTCCTTTTTTTAGAAAGCTTTTAGTTTTATTTTCCTGGCTTAAATTAGAGTTTAGGTTTTACAAAAACAATAAGCTGCTCAGTTTTTACAATAGTTATAAATATAGAAATGACTATTCATAAATCTAAATAAGGCTGTAAAATTCAACCTGATTGTAAAAAAGAATGGAAGGGATTTTTTAGTTCATGCATATGGACTTCGTTCATCCCATGGTCCATAAAAAAGCTCAGCTAGACCATTAAAAAGGATTCAGGTCCACAATTCCAATTTTTGCATTAGATATCCTCAGTGTGACACACAATGAAAAGCTCCCTACTTGGCAGTTACTGGGGATCAGGGTGCTCATGAGGAAGGCCCTAGTTTTGATTTAATGACTGTTGGCAGAAGGCATTATTAATACTTTTAAAAGTTTGCTGATAGCTACTCAGTGCATGCCAACAGACTAAGATGGATTCACTCAAGTCTGGTACTGGTGGCATATCTATATCCACCAACACTCTGCTGAAGAAAACTGGAAAGATAATTCCTTGGTAGTGAAGTCTAAAGTCAAGGTTTTGTACTTTGCCTGCCTGAGTAGGGGATACTGTTGCCTTCTACTGTACCCAAAACACCCTTTTCTCTACCAAAAATGTGAAATAATGGGCTTTATTTTCTTTAACAGAATTTGGCTTATGGCATCTTTTTATGTAGTGGCTTGCCGCCTCTCAAGTGTATGATCTAATGCATTGCAATATTTGTAAATGATTTTAGAATACATCATTGGATATTCATTGGATATTAGTACATGGGTATAGAGTACATTATGGATACCTGTAGTCAGTCTAGAGTTAAAGTTGCAAGTTGCTTTTCTTCATTATGATGTTCCATTTCATTGTTTTGAAATTGAAATACTAGTATGCTTTTAAAAACAGTCTGAACTTGCTTGATGAACTGCACCCTGATTATTTCAGTAGCTGCATAACACAGCTTCACAGGCAGGGTGAGAAGAGTCTTTCAAGGCTGCTGCAGGTCTCACTAAATCCAGCTCCCTCCAAAAGAAAAGAGATTGGGAGCTGCATACCCAGTTGCATCTGTGTTTAAAGAGGATATTACTCCAACAGTTTAAAGATCAGATTGATAAGTTTCTGTCTTCTTTTTTACTGTGATTATTTAATTCCTGTTAAAGCTCTTTAGTGATTCTGTGACTACCCAAACTTGGCAAAAGGCCATCGTGATGAGCCTTCACTTCTTGGCAGATAGATGGTGTTGAATTCCTAACTTAACACAATAGGATGCCTGCACCAAAACTCTTATCCCAGGTTTTTGTTTCAAACTTTAAAAGCACTTACGTCCCAAAAGAAGATTGGTGTGGACAGGGTGCAGACTGCTCTGGGTCTGCACTAGGCAGTGGTGGTGTTCACTCTTTACAGAGATGCCTGAATAATGCCTCCTCCTGACCATGTCCTCAACCTAAATCCAACACTGTGCTTTCCTATCCAGGCTCTGTCTCTCTTCCAAGTACCCTGATCCTGAACGTCCTGGATTTTCTAAGGTGTGGTGGCACAGTCACAAAAGGAAGTTTTGTCTATGACCTGCTGGCCTGAACCTCTTTTTTGTGAAAA